GATTCATATTCAATTTCCTCCAGTCCGTTTGTCGGAGACCTTGGGATTTTCCACTTGGTTTATGGTGCTGTTAAAACGCCACTTCCTGTGCATTTAGGTTTCAAGTAATTTAGTTTTTGTAGGCTTTTGTTAAATCCCCGTGTGTTCTTTTTAGTAATCTGAATATTGCAAAGTTTTATTTTATCTGTGAATAAAATAAACAAATATCACTCCACCTATGTTGCTTCCATTATGAGCTGCTTTAAGAACCAATAAAAGCTGACGATAGATTCTACCTATTCATCAATATTTTACATAGGTAACAAAAAGTGTTTTTGTACCCTAATTTACAAGTCTCTTGTACAGTATTTGTATATTTTTTTATATGGGGGGTTTCGTCTGCACTCCACCCCGGATAATACCGCATGATCAATGTTTATCCTGAAACAAGACGTTCTTCTGGAGCTTTGTCGCCCCCTATTGGTGTGAAAGTATTCGGGTAATGCATTGGCATTGGTTGCATCAGCAACATTAAACACGCAAAGCACCCCCCGAACAACATTCGTCCATTAATACTGTGGCCTTAAAAATAAATATTAAAATAGGCGACGTTTCGGGAAATGGTCCTCTTTCATAGCACAAAAATAGACAGGCCAGAGTGGATAATAAGAGTTGGAAACTGTACTCTACACGATGGGGCCTGATCATTAAAAAAAAATTCTGATGACCAGTTTCTATTGGAATATGAATAGCTACCTAAAAGCTATTGAGTAACAGATCAAATCCTTCTATAATAATAAAAGCATTACTACTACACGCTTAAACGCATTTACATAAAAAGTTCAATTAATTGCTGGTGGCACAATGCCTTGTGGTTAAGGTGTGTTCTGGTGAGCACAAGGCACCATGCACACCCAGCAATGCATTCCTGATGGCAATCACCATTCATTGAAAGGAATAAAACAGCCCTTTACACCCTGAGGCGGAGAGACATCTGAGCAATGGAACGTGAGATGCACAAATATGAAATTAAAATGAATAAAATGAAATCTCGACGGGATTAGGTTGCTATACTCGTTTTTTTCGGTAAAGTCACATATGTAGAAATAAAACGAAATTAAATTAAAATAAATCACGACGTTTCGAACGCAACACAAGCGATCATCGTCAGGTGGAAATGGGGTAAAACACACAGCGAGGGAACACATAGCAGTACATCACGCACATAGCACACAGAGAACGGTAAACTGCACGGAGGCATATACAGCAAGAAGATGGGAGACGAGAACTCAACAAGCCTTAGAAACATCACGTGATGCAAAACCAGTCGGCCAACAACACAGTTAGACACTAACCTGGTTGACCACGTATTTCAAAAGACTGCTAAATTTCATGTTCATCTTCTGGGCTGAACATACCAACGTGGAACAGAGTGAACAGATACGATTTACAAGGTAGCAGAGATACATACACAGAGAAGAACATACAGGGAAAGATGTTTTGGGCAGCACAGAGGGACAACCAGAGTAACACCACATCAAGAGACATACACACATGGAGAGGCACACAGAAAAACGCCTGGGGGGATAACGTACAGGGAATTTATATAGGCTGTAGAGGTCGGTTTGTACCGAAATATTTCGTGCCAATGCGATGGAAGCAAACAGCAAAACAAAACTCAACACATTTGTCGATAACACTGCCTTGAAAATAAACGTCATACAATCGGCAAAAGTTTCTGGCAGAGGCCCTTATTAGGCTCACAGGACATATGTGTGTGCTTGGCATAATTTTTCACCGAACCGCAGATTCACCGCATGCCAACAGTACCGCCCAATGCTACGCAGTAACTAATATTGTGATTCAATTACGTATTGACAATCATGGAGGCAAAATCATAATATAGGAAACTATATAGACTACCCCCAAATGTAATGAAATTAGATTTATGTTGCCTGGGGGGCTGGGTAGCTGGTGTTGTTCCAGTAAACGTGCAAAGATCAAACCAACGTGGCATGTGGTTGGAACAGTTGGCCCAAAGTGGGCCCAAAGTTGAATCAAAGTTCCATATTTGAGGGGGCATATATAGATACTGTAGCCCTAAGGTTATGTTTAGGGAGCGTGTTTCACGTTCCGGTATTTACATGTACTGTGCAGCATTGTGTCAATCCACAGCTGGATGAGGGGACAGCCCACCCATCCCACGTGGGTCGTGGGGGTGATTTGACCACCACCAAGAGTTGTACATCTATGTCTCACCAGCAGCTAGAACCAACACCACCGACAACTTGACGTACAACTCTTCTACTTATACTGTAGTTGTTGTAAACGACAAAATGACCAGCCGTTCAGTTCTCTTGAGTTGGTGGTCTCAATAAGGCTGAGCTGTTTTTGTGCATGCTGGGCTTGCTCCGCGTGTGTGTTGCTCAATGGACATGTGGATCTCACATTCCCTCGCGAGCTGCTGAATCGTAGAATATATGAGTATCGACACAAATAATCATTTGCGTCGTTATGGAGAAGAAAATCAACGAAAAATCAGACAATATATCTCCTTAAAATATCTGTCTCCCTCCACCAGATAAAAGTAATTTACATGGTAAGAGTATCAGTCCTACACCCCTCGTGTAGGCAGCGCATGGTTTCAGGATCATTGGTTCAACGTAGGAAAAAACTCGGGCTCGGTTTCGATATGCAGTGATACATCAGCAGAGCCAGACTCGCATGAGTCCAATGCTGGTGAACTGCCCAGATGTCATAAAAAAAAATGCAACCACATGGGCAAATAATTTTATGAGTGTTTATTTTAAGATTTACGATTGTGCATCACTGCCAACGCAAGATCATCAAATAACTTCCCAGATGTTCCAAAAAGGCAAGGGCCTAGCTCTAAATTAGACGTGGGTTTCTCGTCGATGACGAATCAGAATAATCTGAATATTTACAGTAGGGGCCGGTCAGAATGTTATAACAACAATGCAAAACACGATATGAGCGCAAAGTAAATAATTCACTAAAAATATATACACAAATAAAACTATGCAATGTTTTATCTTACCATGTAAGGTCCACTGAGCTATAAAACTATTTTGAGAAGCGACCTGGCCACAAATGATAGCTCAACAAAAGTGGCTTATCATGTGCAAATTTATCGCACGAAAATAATCTAAATAATCTAGACGGGGGAAAAAATCCACGCGACCACGGGGAGAGAGACACCGCAAACTCCACATATAGAGCAGGCGTCAGGGTTGGGATCGAACCCACGACCTCGATTCTTATTCTTCATCAACATCACCACCACCATCATCACTAAACAACTATTTGAAACATGTGCCCTAGGCAACAGCCATCGTAGTGTCAGATGCCTGACGGCTATTACAAACATTCGGCTATTAAACAACGAAAACGAGAGCGAGAAGGATGAGGTTGTGGCCAGTGGCGGCTCGTGACATTTCCACTAGGTGGAGCTGTTGTGAGTGACCTCTGAAAATATGGTGTTCTCATTAAAACCTCGTCATGTTATTGGCCTTATCGTGAAAATAATATAACTATCTTATCTGCCAACGGTAGGCATTTATAAACAATACGAAACGCAACGACAAAGCACTCAAATGCTGTCCCCATGACCCTCAAGTCCACACTACACAACCCCTTTGACACTGCCAAAAGCCTAGAGCGTGTAGGGCTGTGACCTGCTGTATTTGCACGGTGCCACCCAGCCTTGTGACTCCGTCTCATTACAGCCCCCTGAATGGGTCTCAAACGGCGTGGCTACAATGTTAGAAGTTGCTCATCGCAATGACTAAAAGGGGATATCTCTCATTAATTCTAGACTTGAAGCTTTCGTGACTGCAATGAATCATATTCTTAGGTGTTTTCGGTAAAGTCACGTAGGTAAAACATCAAAATTAATAAAAATAATAAAAATAAAATAAAGATCTTTATTTTATTTTATTATTTTTATTAATTTTGATGTTTTACCTACGTGACTTTACCGAAAACACCTAAGAAGAATGGGATATCTCTCACTCGGACGCCTTCACAGCCGCCCCGAGACCTCCCCGAGGCACAGATCAGTCTGCGGTGTTGCAACGGTTTCTAATACGAACAACTTAAAATGTTATCTTCATTGAGAAATTCACGTTGATATAATAATTCTATTGTAAAAAAATTAACACGACAAAATTATCGAAAAAAAAGTTGCATTTATTTCATCTTGATTTGAAGCTTTCGTGACTGCAGGAATCGATACTCTTTGGTTTAATTCGTCTTCAGGTGAGAGAGAGACGTGTTGCGATCGAAACGTCGTGATCTATAAATTTTCTATCTACGTGACTTTAGGGGCTGTCCATAAATGACGTCACGCACCTAGGGGGGGGGGGGGTCAGACATTTGTGACGATGTGTGACGAGGGGGGGAGGGGTTGAGAAATGTGACGTCACATCAAAATGCGCAACTTTAAATACATATAGACAACACGTTCTACTTAATTGAATAGACTCTTTAAGAAATGTTTTCTCCTACAACATCAGAGTGCATCGCCACATTAAATACGCACTACAATGACAATAGTTTAAAGCGATTTGAAGCATTTTTTATTTTGGGGGGGGGGGCAGAGCTTTGTGACGTCATATTTGAGGTGGGGTCTGCCGTGTGACAAGGGGGGGGGTAAAAATCGTTCACAATCGCGTGACGTCATTTATGGACGGCCCCTTACCTAAATAAAATACTAAAATACTAAAAAAAAAACATTCTAAAATCCAAGAATTGTGAGAATTGTATTTTATTATGTTTTATTTTATTATTTTATTATTTCCCTTCTACGTGACTTTACCGAAAGAACCATGAAGATGAATCCCTGCAGTCACGAAAGCTTTAAATCGAAAATTAAAAAAAAATAAAATACTTTATCAATCTCCAGCCACGTCCCCCAACGACGCCCCCTAGTGGACGAACCGCGCACACGTGCGGCGTTGTTGACGCTGCGGTTGCCATGGAGATTGTGTCGCCGTCGCATAGCAACGCCGGGGTGGCGGGGCACGTGTAGAAGACGCCGCTCGTGAGACGCGGCCGGTGATGGAGGCCTGCACCTCGGCTCGCTCAGCTGATCCCGAGTGACTCGTTATCAATCACACATACGCGTATTGTGCGAGGCGACCTGCGAGACGGCGAAAGGCGACGATGATGTCTCTCGAGAGGACGCGGCGCCGACGGGAGGTGACCGGACCCGGCGTGCACACGGTCGCCCTGGTGAGTAGCCGCCGCCGGCTGCAGTCAACAACCACGCCATGTGTAACGTGTTGGTTGTGTACCGCCTGGCGACCCCTTACCAGTGCCCTTACCTTATCACAGAGGACAAATTGAGACATTGTTAGTCACAACCGTGGCCCTGATACATCTCAAAGTTTGTCCTGCAAAGTCCCATTCGCAAGGGAGAAACACAAAAAAATAGACAAAATATTTTTTTTCGTACTCAATTCTCCTGTGCCAGAATACGGAGTTAAACCGTGTGGGTTGACAGCTTTGGTAGTGCAGTGCAGCCATCACGGCCACCAACACCAGTGGCCATCATCTGTACCAGTCCTGGGCCTCCCCTAGGTCGACTCAGCCTCGAATGAGTAACCTGGTGCGATGTGTAAACGTCGCCACTCGGGAGACGAAGGCGGCCGGGCGTGGTGCTGGCCACCCCCTCGTGTGCCGTGTCGACCTTCATAGGTGCTCAATAACAGCACTCACTCCGACAGCTCTAGGGGAAACTTTTGTCTTCATTATTATCTGTACAGCCCTTTTGTCAATCCACTGCTGGATGAGCCCCCCCCCCCGACCACTACTGCTACCACGCGCAGATCGTGTGGATTGTTTGAACAGACTTCACCGAGTTGGTGAGGTTATACTGGTAGGAACCCACTGGTTCCACCAGCCCACAGGGGATTATTGTGTCCGTCCGTCCGTCGTGTAGGGAGGGGCTGAGTGGGGAGGGAGGGGCTGGGTGGGGAGGGAGGGGCTGGGTGGGGGTGGGAGGGGTGAGGCTAGGTGGGGAGGGGCTGGTCACCCCGTGGTGCCCTTATAAAACTCAACGTTTCACCTACTCACGCCGGCTTGTGCCCGCCCTCACAGTCGGACATATTTGCGGAATACACCACGCCGCCGTTGACCCTGGCCATTGACCGAGCAACCCAACGTTCCTACCAGCTCCCTCCGCAGGAATGTGTTATTTTACTGTCCTCTACTGCCCACAATGTAGCCCCGCAGCAGCCTGTAACAGCCTGCGGAGCATGGTTCAGCATTGATGCAAGCAAGCTCGACACTGCTGATGAGATACTGAATGTCGAAACCAGCCCAGAGTTTGCTGGCACTGAATAAATAAAACCTTAGCACCGCGCAGTGGTAACAAATACACGACTAACACTGCCTTATAGCTGATCTTGGCTAACATTAGGGCTGTCTTATTTAAAAAAAACTGAAAAAAGGAAGTTTTGTTTTCACAAGAGTTTCAGTGATATTTACTCAATAAATAAATGGATACGTTTCGAGTTTTATTTATTTTTTATGTCAAAGTGGTTTCCTGCTCAAACACGTCTCACGTGTGCAGCCGTGACATTTGTGTTCTTTGTTTAGCATAGTCAGGTTTCCCTGGCATAAAAGGGCTTTTGTCTCAATTGTCCATCACCTGTTCCGAAATAAAGTTCATGCATTATGTATGGCAGTGTAGATGTTGTGGTAGGTGGCGACATCATTACGAGGAATCATCTGGGAGAGGGGCTTTGCTCCAGCATTGTGTAACTTCTTAAGGTTAATACAAAAGGCACAATGAGTATTCAACAGGTCATTGGCAAGCACAAGGGGATAGTGGGAGTCTGGGTATTCATGGCGTTACCAAAAGAAAATGAGTTTCCAGTTGACCGATGACATCCATCACAAACACCGGGAGAGGAATAGCTTCTGCACTGCTCAATGTTTTATCTGCTATGTCAGCTCATACGTCAACATGATTAACAAGGCAGTCTTCTTGGACCATATGCCGTGGTGGCTGTTAAAAGTGGGTTTGCAGAAGTCTGCAACAGCTGTGTAATCATAGTTGGGTTCACGGTCAGGCAGACAGAGGTGGCTCGAGAAAACTTACCAGGGGGGGGGGACTGGAGGGGGGGGGCGGCGGGGTCACGAAATGTCATTATATAATTTAATAAATTACTTCCCAGAGCTGCTCGAAATTGTGGTCTGCGGTTTGACACATTGCTAGATGATAGGAGTTTGACGAATGGTCAAGAATAGTGAGTAAATGTCAGCCAAATCAGGGTTCGCACCTGAGAGTACAACCACCACGGAGCTTACGAGGGATGACGATGACGTCGAGACGCCTTCATCCAGGAGCGGATAGACCACGGTTGATGCCCTGCTTCACATCAGCACCATCCCTCTACTCACCGCTGTTACTTGTCGCTGTGCCTGTGGACCTCGATTGTTCTCAGCGAGAGCGCGGTTCCAGGGTCATGCCGGCGCTCAGCGCACAGGCAAGCGGGCGCTGGCGGCAGCAGGCGCGGGAAGACGCGCTGGCGCTCGTGCAGGCCGACAAGCTCGCGCGCGTCAAGGGCGAGTGGGAGCAGCGGAGCGAGCAGCGGGCCACGCGCTCCGCAGTGGACCGCCACCTCTACACCGCCATGCAGGGCCTCAGTCTGTCTCTGCAGGACCGCCGAGAAAGGTTGGGATTTTACCGAGTGTGAAATACGTTTCTGTGGGGGAGAAACATTTGGCGCCGTGGTGATGGTCACTCCCTCACCTGGTATGCAGGAGGTCGTGGGTTCGATCCCGACCCTAACGCCTTCTGTTTAGTTGGAGTTGGCATGTCTCTCTCCCCTTGGTCGCGTGGATTTTTCTCCGGGTTTGACGGTTTTTCCCTCCACGTTTAGAATCAACGTGCATTTAGAGTATTTGGCTGTGATACATTTCCACGTGATAAGCCACTTTGTTGAGCTTTCATTTGTGGCCAGGTCACTTCTGAAAAAGTTCTATACAGCTCAGTGGACATTACTTGGTAAAACATTTTTTTATAGTTTAGTTTTATTTCCAGAGGGAATAATTGTGCGAGTGGCACATGTAATGTCACGTGACTGATTAGTCCAGCGGTTCTCAGCCCATGGGAACGCGTCCCCTAAAGAGCCTTTCAGGGGGGCACAGGCTGCAGCATGGACACAGTGCAGGAACGTTTTTTAATGTGCGTAGGGTACGTCGCCGCCACGTTGGTGACAAAACAAACAACTAGACGACGTTAAACGAGTGTTGACTATAGGAGTGGGCATGTGATCTCTCTCTCTCTCTCTGTTGTGGCCTTAGCAACATTAGTTGGGTTTTTGGGGCTGGGGACGGGGGGCAGAGACCAGTGGTCTTGATTGGGGGGGGGGGGGGGGCTGATACTAATAGGGTCAAGAACCACTGGATGAATCAATTGTTTGTTCCTGACTGATTTCATCAACCATTCTCCATATTCTTAGGGGGGTGGTAGAGAATGTTGTATATTTAAGTACGAATGTGAGCTATAAAGTAACAATATCTATGCATGCATGGGATTTTAGAAAAGGTTAAAGGATATATTGCATGAGCAGGGATATTTTATTTATCAGCTATATAAATCACCTTGTAAGAATTGAGAGGTCAAGATTTACTCTAATTTATGTTATCATATAGGTCAGAGTAATGTGTTGTGGCTTGCATACTACGCTGCGAATTCGGTGACCCAAATTCGATTCCCGCTCATGGCCGTTTATCTGAACCGGTCCTGGACATCTCTGAGGTCGACTCAGCCTCAAACCGTACCTGGTGTGATGTGTAAACATCGCCACTCGGGAGACAAAGGCGGCCGGGCATGGTGCTGATGACCCACTCCCTCATACACCGTATCGGCCTTATATGTACGCTCACAGCACTTGCTCAAAAACGTCCGTTCAGGATATGCAGGCGATCTTTGTCTTGCCAGAGAGCAGGGCTTTAGCAAAGAAACTCGAAAATAGGTTTCTGCCTCTTGAGTAGAGATGAGTGGAAACGATGCTCAACATTTCACGGCAGGATTGCGGTAAGTGTGACTTGGGCGTCTTTCAGCCGATCGCACTCCAGCACCTGCCGTGCCGGCTCTGAAACTGAATACCAAAGTGAATTGGCAACAACACCAAACTGAAGAAGTGCTTTACGCGGGTAATTGTGATTTTCTTTGCTCATAAACACACGAGTGTGTGTGTGTGTACAGTAGAACATCTTGCAGCCAGACTAACCAGCGGGGTGGGGTATTTTTGTTGGTGATGGGAAGATCTGGCGTACTGCACACGAATAAATGATTAAACGGTAATTGTTTTTTTTCAAGATGTTTCAATAATCACAATCAAATATCATTGTCTACATTGAAAAATGCCATGTTTTTTTTTATCTAAAAAGCCAGAACTGTAGTAGTTTCTGATATATTGCTCAGACTTAATTACTTTTCATTCATGACATTTCTCAACTTTATAATAATATATTGATGACTTCTGATAAATGCACACATTAGACATTGGTTTATAGTTATTTAAACTGTTCACTGTCCACTCTCTAAACTGTCCACTCTTTATGAAGAAAGCATCCATAAGCCTATCTCGAATCACTGAAGTATTTTTTTAATGCCATATAGGAACTGCAATGAACTCAACACCAATGTAATGCCATCAGATCTGGCAAATGTAGTGACATCAGGTCGGGCAGAATGTACGTGGTTTTCTGGAAGACTAAGGCGTTTTCAGCTGTCTACATGCCCAGAGATGCGTGCCACGTGTGTGCTCCACCGCAGGCTGACCAAGCTGCTGGAAGAGGAGGAAAGCGGCTATCTGGAGGAGTTGCAGCGCACGCAGGAGACCACGCTGGAGCGGCAGGCTCGCATGCGCGAGCGTGCCAAGGCCCTGAGGGAGCAGCGCGAGTGTGAGCGGCAGCAGCTGGTCACGCAAAAACTGGATCAGCAGTTTCGGTTGGTGCCGTCTCCCTCGAACATCCGGACGGCTTTGGTAGCGCGCGTATGGCCGGAGAAGGCGGAGGCGGTTTCGATCTTGTCCGGTGTCGGAGGATAGTGCGTGAATTAGAGATGTGTGGAGTGAAGAGATGTGTTGGAGAGAGAGATAGAGAGACCATGCCCATCACTGGATGATTTAGAATTATTTTCTATATAACGTTTGCCTCGTGGTGTCACCACCATACCTGCCAGGGTACACCACCACAATAGGACCGATGATTTTGTGGGTCTTATAGGGCCATATCATTCACAGTATTGAATGATAACCACTGTTTTATTCGTTGGTATGACGTATTCCGCAAGTGATTACCCAAAACCTTTTTTTTGTTTAGTTTGTTGTCCTTCTCCCGCACCGATTAGCGTGGTTGGCTATGTATGGTACGAAAGAAGTTCAGCATACATACATACAATAGCTGCCATACATTACACACATTTTTCCACGAGTCGGGCTGCTGTGGCCCAACTCAGACAAAACCATCGGGTAAACGTGGCCACCGCTGTGCATGCGTGCGTGCGCGCTCGCAGAGAGCAGAGCGAGGAGCTTCGCACCGTCCTGTCACGCTGGCACCAGGACCAGGTGTGCACCGAGCGGCACGTGCAGCTGGCGGAGCGTGACGCCGCGCGGCAGCGGGAGCACCAGGAGGAGAGGCTCTTCGCCGAGCTCTGGGAGCGCGACCGCTTGGCCAAGACGGAGCGCGAGGAGAGGCAGGCGCTGGAGCGTGCCGAGAGCAACCGCGAGAGCTTGCAGGCGCTGCAGCAACAACGGGCAGCTGTGCAGGAGCAGAGAGAGCAAGCGAAACGACTCAAACAGGAGGAGGCTGAGCTCATGGTGGGCCATGTTAAATAATTATCAACCTGCTAGAGTATAGGCCACTTTCTAACTGTTATACTAATTTAGTGGTAATGATTGGAAGATCTGTTTTAACACCATACATTCATTGATGGGACCATTTTTGCCAGAATCATCTTAACACCTGTATTATTGCCAGAAAGGGTGAAATAATGTTTTATCAACATACATTCAATTTAATACAAGGATTTCCTGGTGGCATCCGTCCATCGTAAGGGCGTATTCTGAAACCAGTGACTATGACCGTTATCCTAGGTAAAAAACTGTGACCTAGTATATTTACCATACTAATCTTATTGGGTTTCAGAAATGAATACCATTTATTCCAATTCCTCTGGTTTTTCAGTTGAGAGTTGGGAATACATTTTTTGCAATTAAGAAAAATCCATGCAACATAATAAACGCCTGAGTGTTATTAAGCACTCTAGCTTAGAAAATATATTGGCCCTGTCCATAGAACAGGCTGGAACTAGCTTGTATCTAACATACTGAATATATAAATGATTACTAACTGACCACTGTGTGGTGTAAATTTGAGTGATGTTTTAGAAGAGCTGTGAAATAAAAATTTGACACACATGCATCTTATATTTGGATCTTGGGCCACTGTCAATTGCAGGGTAAAACTCACTTAATATTATTATTTGTAACCGAAACCTGTGAAAATTTGTATCTGGATTTTATTTTTTAATAATGCTACATAATTTTTTTCTAGTACTAGAAAATAATTTCGATAACTACCTTATTTCCGAAACTTGTTGAAGTGTGCAATGCTTAAGCTTATAGCGCTCACTGGCCACTCCCGCTCGCTTCGGTGAAATAATGTTCTTGCGTCGATCGTTGCATGGTCCTAATTAGGGCATTGTTCTCATTTGTATCCCAGCTCTACCCTCATATGCTGTCTTATCTTATCGCATGTCTTGCAAAGATATGCATTTCAGATGGTTCACGCTTGGTTATGAATAAAAGAACCGAGAGAAAGGAGAAAAAGCAACATGATGTAAAAATGGGACATCAGTGCCATGATTAACATTCTTTTCTCCAAATAGCATTGCATGTGATGCCAAATTTTTTACCGTTTGGCGTGAATTCTTTGTCAGAGGGAGCAGCGGGAGCTTTGCAAGGTGGAGGAGGAGCGCGCCCAGCAGGACAAGCAACGGCAGCGACAGCAGACGCGAGCCATGCTGGACTCGTCTGTGCGGTTCAAGTTGCAGCGGCTGGCACGCGAGCGGCAGGAGGAGATGGATTTGGACATGAGGCTCCTAGAGCAGATGGTGCAGACGTCGAGCAACGAGAGCCAGGACCAGCAGCAACGCAAGGTTGGTCCATCCACTCGCCTACCACATGGGTGACCTTACTGTATAGGGTGCCACAATGGCGAGATGTTAACTATCTCACATGGTATGCAGGAGGTCGTGGGTTTAATCCCAACCCTGACGCTTGTATATTTGGAGTTTGTATGATATACCCGTGGTTGCATGAATTTTTCTCCGGGTACTCAGGTTTTTCCCTCCACATTTATAAATGTGTTTAGAGTATCTGGCTGCTATACATTTCCACGTGATAAGCCACTTCGTTGAGCTATCATTTATGGCCAGATCGCTTTTTAAAAGGGCTATATAGTTCAATGGGTCTTATCTGGTAAAACTAAAAAAATCTGTTTATTTGACAGGGCCATTTCCAGTGGAGCCAGTTTACACAGTCAACAGTTCAATTCCTGCAGTTGCTAAGTAATTTTTTTTTGTGGAAATTGCCAAATTATGGTATCTGCTGTAGACTTTACTCTAATTTATATATTTGTTTTTAATGGTCAATGTGCCCCAGTTGTATGCCGATTGTGTTATCAGCGTCATGTAATAATGTCAAATCTCTCGCAGAGCCGTGCAACTTGGTAGGACTTTCCTGAAAGAGAGTCTTGAGAAGAAGACTCAGTGAGGTTTTTCCTGGATAAGCAAGCGTAATCATAATGACCCCTCATGGGACCTCCCTGGCCAGTATAAAAATATAATAATAGGTTTTACCCTTTCTGGCAATAAAACAGGTGTTAAGATGTTAAAACATCACACTGAAGCCTTTTGCAAGGAATCATGTCTGCATTAAGCACATATACTTGTGGTGAACATGCAAAAAAATGCTCTGACAGTATATGCATTGTCTTTGAAACTAAATGGTCCACACCAGAGACAACTTTCTTTAGAGCCTCGTCTCAAACAGTGTTAGACCAGAGGACGCCAAAAGGCGCACAACACAAAGACCATGCCACTACCAGGACATTGAGAGCTCGGGCTGAGCAGCTACATCATGGGACCTCCCTGGCCAGTATGGAAATATAAGAATAGGTTTTACAACTTGGGTTTTAATATCTTAACACAACTGTTTTATTGCCAGAAAGGGTAAAACCTATTATTATGAAAGCTTCTTGTTAGAGAATGGGCCCTTCATGCTCGAGCTGCCTCCAACATCCCTTGAAGTGACCTCTAGTTCACAGACTAGGGGGCGGTCAAACTGATATTTAAATTCTCAGGATTGGAATTTCGCCAAATTATATGCAGATTTGTTTTTTATTTGATGGATTTTGTGCGTAGCCATTGGTAACTGGGTTGAGACCATCAATTCGTTGCGTGGTTTAATCACAGGCAGCTGCCTGGATTGGAATCCAGGACCTCAACGGTACCAGCTCGGCACTCTGTCACCTAAGCCACCCAGCCACCTTCTTGTACACTTTAATAAGAAATATAAAGTCCTTCACCAGAGTAGACTATTGCCTAACATTGTCCAAGCACAATTTGAGTTACAGACTCTCATTAGCCCCTCGGTTAAATAATCCAAAAATAATAATTTAATGTTTACCTTTCATATATGAAGTAATTTTTCTGGGGTGTGAAGCTTTGTTCTTCCATAAGCCATTCAATTTATAAACTGCACCCAAGTAACTTCGTAATTATTTTTGTCAAACGGATGGTGTGTGTAGTCATGATGATACAGTAATATGAAATATCCCCAGTGGTGTCACGTGTTGGCAGGTACCTTGAAGTGTTTCCCATAGCATCTCATTAATTAGGCATTTAACTCTAATAAAGTGCAACTGATTTTCTCCAGTCGGGGTAGTCATACTTTCTGCCTATGTCAGCAACATACCAAAATATTCATATAGCCGTGAGCCACAGGACATACACACACGGCTTGACACATGCATTCACGTGGCCGGTTTACTCATGCTGTTTGGCTGTGGTATTTTTCATTTAGAAATCTGTGGGAGCACCCATGTCTGGCTCCCGCTTCCCTAACTCATATGCGACTCATGGGCTACTGTTTTGCAACCCCTTATCTGCGGTGATGATATCGAGCAGTTGACGCATGATGAGCAGGCCACATCAGTGGGTGAATTGAGCCGATGTAGAGTGGATATGGAAACAATTAACTTTTTTTTACCCCTATTGTTATTTTACCAAGTAAGGCCCACTGAGCTATATAGCTGTTTTTCAGAAGTGAACTGGCCACAAATGATAGCTCAATAAAGTATCTTATGACGTGAAAATGTATAGCAGCCAAATAGTCAAAACGCATGTTCTAAAGGTGGAGGGGAAAACTGAAGGACCCAGAGAAAAATCCACGTGACCAGAGATAGAGAGACATCCAAACTCCAAATATACAGGCGTCAGGGATAGAATCGAACCCATGCCCTCCTGCATACCAGGCGAGGGAGTTAACATCTCGCCACCGTGGCAGTGAGTGGACAGGATGTGTGCAGCTAAGTGTGTTATGCTTGGCTGCTCGTGATAACAGCGCTGCAATGCAGCCACCGCACAGCCTGCTGATGCCAGGTTTCAATGACCATTTTCGCAGATGGAGCTGCGCAAGGAGCAGCAGCTGTACCGTCAGCACTTGGCCCAGCAAGCAGAGGAGGAGCGGCAGTGCGCACGCGAGATGGAGCGCCTGATGGGGGCCGAGTTGGAACGCATGTGGCGCCGGCGCGAGGAGCAGTGGCGCCTGGAGAAGGAGGCGCGCAACCGCCTCTTCAAGGACGTCATGGACGCACGGAAGCAGCAGATCCAGGAGAAGCGTGCGTGCTGACGTTACAGGCCCAAAGCATGAGTCTACGCAGCCTCGAATAATGACGATCTGATGTGGTGTGTCAATATAACAGCACGAGGGAGACAAAGGCAGTCGATTGCACCTGAATGCTGGCCCAACCATCCCCTCGTGTTCAATACCTGTTAGTAATCTAATTGCACTATCCCTGCCGCTCTGTCATGTTAAATGGGGAATATAATGTTTGTTTGGTGCGTGTGTGTTTGTGCGTGTGAGGTAAATGGTAGCGGTAGTGTCGCGGTTAGCGAGCTGCGCTACGAACTCGGCAGCCCGCGTTCAATTCCCGCTCACGGCCAACACCAGTGACAATTATCTGAGCCGGTCCTGGGCCTCCCCTAGGTCGACTCAGCCTCAAATTAGCACTTGCCCTGACAGTCTTAAGGCTATACGGGTCTATCTTTGTCTTTGTGCATGTGTGTTGGCAGTGGACTGCAATTCGCATAAGCAGCAGGAGCTGATCCAAGATCAAAAGCTGATGGAAGAAGCTGCGAAAGAAAGCAAACGGATTGAGGAAGAGCAGCAAGCCAGGTGGGTAGAGAGCATGACTCCCATTACAGGTGGTGGGGGGGGGGTTCTGTGAAATAGAGATGCATTTATCGACTATAATAGGTTAAAAGATAATTTATTGCTTTGATTATTGTAATATAGTTACCACACACGTCCGCATTCTATTTACAGAAACTTGAGTCATTTCCGCACAAGATGCTCAAAACATTATTGCACATCATCGTAACTATTTTTCAGGGTGAAGAGCGCGAACTGGGAGCATCAGGCGGCACTGCGGTCTCAGATAGAGCACCAGCAGAGAGTGCACGCAGCCGAGCGCCAGGCGGCACAGCAGGAGCACGAGCAGACGTTGCTGGCCCAGGCCGCCTACCAGGAGAAGCTGCACTACATCCTTTCCCGGCCAGAGTCGGGGAGCAAGCTTGTGCACCCTCTGCGCAGGGTGCAGTCACCGTTCACGCCTCACGGAGGAGGCTCGGCATAGAGCCGGAGCGAATATACTTACAGCTCGGTGCCTAACCACGCACACATTCAGTGAGACGTGGCGAGGTGCCCGGGTGGGTCAAGAGGTCAGAGCGCTGAGTTGGTACCGTTGACATTCTGGGTTCAAATCTGCGATGAGGCCCGGGTTTGTGATTGTTAGTGATTTAATGGTCTCAGATTATTCAGCAATGACCGCACACACAAAAGAAACCCATCAGATTACATTTTTGCACTGAGCTTAATTTGGATAAATTCCAGCTCGGAAAATGGCCTTTTTTTTGTCATGTGACAAACAATACTCTGTGTGGCAGGGTGGGTGAGAAAGTGCTGCCCCTTAGTCTGTGGACCAGGGGTCACTTGAAGGGAGTTTTGAGGTAGGTCTGTGATATCCGCTTCCGTGGGCCATTCACTGCACTGCTCTGAGAGCGATCCGAATGGATGTATGTTGAACTTCTTTCACACCGTACATAGACAAACTGTGCTGATCCTCTCATGCCTTGATATCCATAGCACAATTTGGGTAAAATTGGGGGGGTAAATGAAAAAAATTGTGGGACATCGTGTACCTGGTGAAGAGTCATGGTTCTAGTTTGAGGAGGGAATAGACTGCCTTGGGTTCTTACAGTCTCAAGATCACATTTCTTTGCAGGTGGTTTAGGTTAAATAAAATCCGTCAATGGCTTCATCAGATCTTCCTATACCAGAAGGAAATACATTATCGCGAATTCACAGTACAGTGTGTAAATTTATTAGGAGCAACCCATTGCACTCATGAAAAATTTCCAACTTTCGCTCGATGGTTTATGTACTGCTTTGTCAATTTTGAAATAAATACTTCTGGTAGTTTTTCTCACACCCAACTCACAAAGCAATGCCTCTTTTATCGAAAGGTTTGTTCATGAAGGCATCCAGATATATAAACATAACTTCAACCGAGAAGATGGATACAAATTGAGCAATCATTGGAAGGATGTTATTAACCAGGTAAAACCCTAACTGCTTTGTTGTGGTTGTCGTCTATCGTATCTGCCGGGTACCACTACTACTACTCTATTTTGTTCCGAGTAAACTTCCCCCCAGCATCCCCCCAGCTCTCTCGGCGTCCCACTCCCAGCCCCGCCCACTTCCTCGCGTCCCTCTCGGGCGTCCACGCAGCGCTCCCCTACCCCCACCCCTCCCCCTTGCTCCTCCCCCCTTCTCTGCTTGTATAACCTCTTAGCACGGCAACGCTCTCCCACTTAAGCAAAAAAATTCTTGCTGTGGTTTTACCACCTGATGATGATTGCTTGTGTTGCAATCGAAACATCGTGATTTAAATTTCGATTTAAAGCTTTCGTGACTGCAGGGATTCATCTTCTTGGTTCTTTCGGTAAAGTCACGTAGATGGGAAGTAATAAAATAATAAAAATAAAACATAATAAAATAAAATAATTCTCACGACGTTTCGGCTACAACGCAAGCAGCCGTCTTCAGGTGAAGAATGAGACACTGCCAAGCTTGCGTTGGAGCTGAAACGTCGTGAGAATTATTTTATTTTATTATGTTTTATTTTTATTATTTTATTACTTCCCTTCTACGTGACTTTACCGAAAGAACCAAGAAGAAGAAAAAAGTCGTGATTTAATTTAATTTATTTTCTACCTACGTGACTTGACCGAAGGAACCAAGGAGTATGGATCCCTACAGTCACGAAAACTTCAAATCTAGATTGAGTTCTGATGGTTAACCACCACCACTGGCAAAAAATCTCCAAAATCAGAAAAATGTTGACAGTGAACCTTCCAAAAGGAAAGAATTAAATGTATATGTGCTCTTTTTGTTGCTATTCTTAGTAAGATAAATTACACTGTAGTAACCAGATAAATAGGGAAATGTAAAGTGACTAGAATCTTTACGTACCGTAATGATATGGACACCATACAAAATACAGATGATTTCTGCTTCTAAAAATAAGAAAAGTTCTAATAAAACGAGAATAACGTCACCTCGGCTAACCGCGAGGAACCCGTGGAACATCTCAACCAAAAGCGCAACTAGCATCAGTATAAAGTAGCAGCGCCATCAGTCGCATGCATGGGGGCGAGGTGGGGGGGCGCACCATAGGAAACTTAAAACAAACTTTCAATAAATATCACTGTGTAACACAATTTTTGTTCCTGGGTAGTAAGTGTTATTTCGTAATTGCTTATGCCTAAAAAGTAGAGAAAATGCCTATTATTCCCCACAAACTTTGCTTTTGTGACCAGGACAGTGATATTTTGAAATTCACCTATTTTCAATGAGAAAACGGGCGAATTTGTGTCTTTTCGTTCACATAAAGTCAGAAAAAAAACATTATTCAAAATTAACATGTATTTATTCTAAAGTAATACAAAAATGACGACAAAATATTTAGAAGTGAGCAGTTTTTCGAGATTTACGATTATACTGTAAATCACTTTCACGAATCAGTCCCCAAATGTAGTCTCCCATCATGTTCTCGTTATACTACGAAATAACATGTATTGTAGTGCATATGATAAGCATTGAAACAAACAGCATTGGAAGTTTTTTTATTTCCTTATGCTCCAAATTATAAGATGTTGCGGAAAGTCTCACTCCAAACTTGTGCACGGTGTCAATAAAGTTATACAGCTGTGGTCACGCGCACAAAGATCACCCGTATAGCCTGCAACAGACTGTTGGGGCAAGTGCTGTTAGCGAGCACCTATTGGGTGGGTGGCCAGCACCACGCTCGGCCGCCTTTGTCTCCCTAGTGGCAATGTTTACACACCGTACCAGGTAATTATTTTTTAGGCTGAGTCGACCTAGAGGAGGCCCAGGACCCGCTCAAATAATCGTCACTGGTGTTGGCTGTGAGTGGGAATCGAGCTTGGGATGCCAGGTTTGTAGCACAGCGCGCTAACCGCTGCACCGCCGCTCCACACACGCACACACACACATGCAGGGGAAAAGTGCGGCTAAATATAATCAATTAATTACGGAGGGAAACAAGAACAGCCACATAATACGGTTGTTACCACAGTACTTTGTGGGTATAACAGAAGCCTTGAAGGTGCATAAGGCCACAGACACATGCCATATTATACACGCACGCATATGTAACCTTAACGTACATACTCTCTAACATATCTGTAATATTGACCAACACATGTCGCGATATTAGTGATAAGTATCGCTAGCATCGTAACTGCGTTGCTTGAAGCGTTTCATATTTGGGGCATTTCCACAAATTAAGCCAACGCACGGTTAACATTTCAAAATCATCTTCAATACGTACATATAGGCGGGTCATTATGAAGGTATTTGTGTGGTATGTGACAAAGTATGGTTTATTTATGGAGTAAGTCAACGTTGTGATACGCGAAACCGACGCACCATCACCACCGTCCCAGCGTGGATGGGGGCGGGGGAATAAGTCAGTTCGCCCGAGAACATTCCACAACGCGGTATTTGAACGAGCATTCCTCTCATCTAAAAAGATGCTCATTAGGGTCCGTCCATAAATGACGTCACGCACCTAGGGGGGGTGTTAGACATTTGTGACGATGTGTGACGATAGGGGGGGTGGGTTTGAGAAATGTGACGTCACATCAAAATGCGCAACTTTAAATAAATATAGACACGTTCTACTTAATTAAATAGACTTTTCAATAAATGTTCTCTCCTACAACATCAGAGTGCAGCGGCACATTAAATACTCACTCCAATGACAATAGGTTAAAGCGATTTGAAGCATGTTTTATTTTTTGGGGAGGGGCACAGCTTTGTGACGTCATATTTGAGGGGGGTCTGGCTTTTTGTGACGCCGTGTGACGAAGGGGGGGGGGGGGGGCAAAAATCCTCCAAAATCGCGTGACGTCATTTATGGACGGCCTCTCATTTATACCAGAACGACAGTCCTAATTTTCTGAAATTACCAAGCCGGAGTATAAAGTAATTTCACGACTAAACTAATGATTGCCCGCGCCTCTAAAAAGTTATGAAAAGGACGTCCAATTCTGGGAATTGCTGTGCACCACGTGCATTGATCCGCTGAACATTTGACGATGGTTTTAGCTTCACAAACGGAATAACAATCCGCGACTTTGAAAACTCAGCGCTAAGTGCGCGTTCCCAAGAATGGCCAGCAGAAAGCGCAATTAACATTGGCAGGAGCGTATCGAACACAGAAGTGGGGGAGCGGTGGCACAGTGGTTAGCGCACTAAGCTGTGAACCCGATAACATACATATTCTTGGTTCTTTCGGTAAAGTCACGTAGATAAAATTTTAAAATAACATTTAAAATAATCAATTGAAAATAATAAAAGCATCTTGACTTAAAGCTTTCGTGACTGCAGGAATTCATATTCTTGGGTCTTTCGGTAAAGTCACGTAGATAGGTGACTTTACCGAAAGACCCAAGAAGGTAGATAACATACATATCAACCCATACGGTTTACCCGTACCATTGTCCAGGGAAATTGAGTTTTCAGGTTCATACGGCATACAACCGTTTCCATGCAGGCAAAAAAGCCTAATGTTGTCTATTTGTTTGTGTTTCTCCCTTGTAATGTGACGTTGTAGAATGAACGTTGAGATTTATAAGGGCACGGGGTGACCAATAAGGTCTGAATTGGTCTGTAATAAGGTGGGCACTGATAAGGGGTTGGCAGCTATGCGATAACGTGAGTTCATCGCAACATGTCCCGGCCACGGCAATTGTCCCCGGCTGTCCACAAAGCCAAGTCAGCCTGAATCGAGTGGCACCCAGTGAACGACAGGCTGGTTTGACAGATTCCGGCACACCCTCGGTGGCTTAATTATAGCCGCACCAACCAACTCAGTACCTGACAACATTAAAGAACCATTTCCCCTAGTCCCTGGAGCAGAGGCTGAACCTGAAAAAACCCCATCGAGACCTCGTCAAGTGTCACGGAGACTTCAATGCCTGCCTCTGGCGCTGCCAGGAGATGGCCTCCGACCTGTGATGGGTACACGTGGTGCGCGGCATCCCACGAACGCCAACTCACAAAGGCCCCACTCAGTTGTGTGCAAGAAACGGTGGCACGTGGCTCCAGTGCCGCGGCATTTCAGAGGCATTCCTGGATTTCAAATGACGGCCACACACAGAATGAAATTGACCGCAAACTTATCAACTCCAGATGGCACGCTGTGCAAACCTGCAAGCGTGTACTGCAGCCTGGGGCCTGACTCAGACCACCGCCCCGTTATCGCAACTATCATCAGTATAAAGATTAAACGAGTGACCATCTCCAATACCCCCCCCCCCCCCCACGATATCAAACAACTCTCAGACCTATCTTTCGAACAAGAAGTACATACTCTTTTGTTATTTCGGTAGTCACGTAGGTATAAAACAAAATAAATCACGAAAGCTTTCCCACCTGATGACGGACGCTTGTGTTGCGCCCGAAACGTCGTGATTTATTTTATTTTATACCTACATGACTTTACCGAAAGAACCAAAGAGTATGGCTTCCTGCAGTCACGAAAGCTTCAAATCAAGAAAGAAGTACACAGTCAACGGTAACAACCGATGTTCTGCTCCCTCTGAAGAGAAACGGATAGATTGGGACCAGTTTTTAGACTCTGTAAAGAAAGCCGCCAAGACATTCCTCGGAACCCGTTGCACCGTGAGAATGGAAGGGATTAGTGATAAAAACATGGTGCTTGAATTGAGAAAAAATGCAAAACACGGGTAAAAGGGTCCAACGAAGACTACAAAGGGCAGGAGAAGGCAATGGAAGACCCCAGATGCGGTATGAGCGCCCGAGGCGGGCTGATGAGAAAGCAGCACCAGCGGAGCAAAATGACCTCTCCACGGGCAAAATGCAAGGGTAACCTTCCACCAATTTCAGTCACCTCGGGGGAGCCGACGGCAACGTTTCCTGACCAATTGCAGATGCTAGTCGCCACCTGGTGAGCGACTGGAGGCAGCACCTAGTATGTGGGGGAAAAAAACAACAACGAAAAAGCTTTGGCCGTGGAAATGAACTGGGGGAAAATCCAAAATACAAACCACAGAAGAGCAAGCAGCCACGTGACCTGAACGAAGCGCGCATAGCCGAGCATCGATATTAAAGTGAAGTCATTCGCATGCCTCGACCGCAACCTACTGGCAACAGCGAGGCAGACATCAAAAGACGAATCTCAATTGCGCGCAAGTTAGTTAACAACGGCAACAAAGATTCTTCTGCCTCTGCAACGCCTCCATCCTCCCCGTGCTGCTGCTGCTTGCGTATGGCGGTCAGTCTAACGCGTATGGCTTTTGCGATCAATGTTATTATTCACGATAAAGGTTTGATGGGTTGGGATCGCGTAAATATAAATGTGTCGTTGATCCACCACCACCCGACACATGACCGTGTGTTTGCGACGGATTCTGCGCACCCACGCCGGCGAACGACATCGCCACCCTCGCCCCAGCTCAGTCGTCGTGACAGCATCGTCTCATCTCCCCTTCCATGTCCGGGCGACGACCGAAACGGTGAGGGCCAGGGAGACTTCACCTCCCACGGGACCCACGTTGCCCCCTCGGCAGATCGCACCAAGAGCCCTGCACTCCACGATCATCATCATCAACATCGTCATCATCATCAACATCGTCATCATCGTCTTCACCATCATCGTCATCATCAACATCGTCATCATCATCATCAACATCGTCATCATCATCAACATCATCATCTTCAACATCGTCAACATCATCATCATCGTCATCATCAACATCGTTACATCATCAGCATCGTCATCATCATCATCGTCATCATCATCATTATCCAAATCATCATCAACATCATCAACATCATCATCAACATCGTCATCATCATCAACATCGTCATCATCATCTTCAACATCATCAACATCGTCATCATCATTAACATCGTCAACATCGTCATCAGCATCGTCATCATCATCAGCATCGTCATCATTATCATCCACATCGTCATCATCATCAACATCATTGTCGTCATCGACGGTGGCGCAACCGCGGCGACTGGAGGCGAACTCGGTCGGGGTGGACGTGCGGTCCTCTGTTTGAGGGCCGGGGTCAAACGCCGCGGGGTCAACTCTGCGGCGGGGGGTGGGGGGGGGGCTGTGCTCCTCGTGGTGGTGGAGGTCGCGGGCACCGCGATGTCGCTGCCGCCGGGGGAGCTTTGGGGACCGAGATCAGAAAAAAACGAACGTAACATCTCGTAGCAGCATTTCAAATGTGGTAGCGCTACGTGAAATCCAGGATTGCGTGGACCAGGCTAAAATAACATCGGGCTGTTGAATAGTATGAATAGAAGTTTATGAACATTAAACATCTCGATGGTTGGCTACGTACGGTAAGAAAAAAGTTCAACGTTAAACATCATCGAAGAAATGTAAATGGAATTCTGTGCCCATGCATGAGAATACAGAGTAATACCGGTCTGTTTTTTTTAATACCAGAGAGGCTCACTTGGTCAACTCTTTAACGATGAGTTCTTAAACAATTTATTGATTCGTCACAAGGCGTGTACACAATCGCGCGAGTAACAATTGATAACTTTCGATTTGTGCGACGCAATCCCACGATCTGCGGTCCAGCATCGGTGAGCAAAAATCATTGGCCGTCCCTCGCATAATTCCGGGGATGTTATAGAGTAGAGCGATCAACATTTCAAGTCACCTCGTGGAATTTCCTAGCGGTTCATGAAATATCAATTCGCTCCGTGCGAAGGTCACCAATTCTCCTCTGTTTCCACCCCGACTTGTCTGGCGCAATCTTCCCTGCGCCAGTCATCTGTGCTGTCGACTTCCCTGCCCTCTGTGTCAAGTTGAGCCTCAAGGCCTTCCAACCAAAGGGAAGAAGGCGTACACCGCAGACAAGAGGAGGATGTTGATATTCCAAGCCGCATTGCACACGGGGCACGGTGACGAATTGTCCGGGACATTTTGGGAAGGGCCCTCGCCCCCCACAGAACCCCCCCCTCATCCTTCACCAGGAATCCCCCCCCCCCCCCACAATCTCCCCCAGGGCCCCGCCCCTGGGTGCTGCTCTGCCCCTCCCCCAGGGCGGATCCCCCGCTCCCTCTCGCAGCTTCCTCTTCGAGAACCACCACCACCACCCGCCTCCTCCTCCCCCCCCCCTCTTCGCTTGCCCCCACTCGCAGCACTCCCCCGGCCCCTCCTCCCTCTTCTCCCTCCCCCCTCCCTCCTCTCATTCCCTCCCACGCCTCCCCCACCTCTCATTCCCCCCACCCTCCTCCCCTGCTTCTCTTCCTCCGGTTCACCTCCTCCTCACTCATTCCTCCCTCCCCTCTTCCCCTCCCCCGAACTCATCGCCTCCCCCACCCACCACCTCCCCTCCCCCGCGCCCCTCCCCTCCCCCGCGACCCTCCTCCACCCACCACCTCCCCTCCCCCACGCCCCTCCCCTCCCCCGCGCCCCTCCCCTCCCCCGCGTACCTCGCCCCACCCCCAACCACCTCCGCTCACCCCGCGCCCCCCCACCGCTCACCCGGAGCCCCGCCCCTTCCTCGCCCCGCCCCTCCACTCCCCAGCCCCGCCCCCAGCCCCGCCCCTCCCCCAGCCCGCCCCGCCCCCTGCCGTCAGTGAGGTGGCGCTGAGCGGCGTCCGCATCGGCAGTAGCAGCGCCCTCGCTGCCTTCATCGTCGTGGTCGTCGTCGTCTTCACCACCACCACCATCACGGCGTCTGCGGCATTCCAGTGCGTAAGGAATGTTGTTGTTGTGGTGTTGCTGCTGCTGCTGCGTGGTTGTTGTGGACGTGAGCGTGGATATTCAGTAAGAAGTAAAAATAAGCGGCGCTGCTGCTGCTGCTGCTACATTGGGCGGAGACGCGCGGCCTGACAGGCAGGCCGCGCGTGGGGAGACGGGGAGAGGGTGATGGGGAGATGGTGAGAGGGTGATGGGGAGATGGTGATGGGGAGATGGTGAGAGGGTGATGGGGAGAGGGAGGTGGTGATGGGGAGGTGGTGATGGGGAGATGGTGAGAGGGTGATGGGGAGATGGGGAGAGTGGGAGAGGGTGATGGGGAGATGGTGAGAGGGTGATGGGGAGATGGGGAGAGGGGGAGATGGTGATGGGGAGATGGTGAGAGGGTGATGGGGAGATGGGGAGAGTGGGAGATGGTGATGGGGAGAGTGGGAGATGGTGATGGGGAGATGGTGAGAGGGTGATGGGGAGATGGTGAGAGTGGGAGATGGTGATGGGGAGATGGTGATGGAGAGAGTGGGGGTGGTGATGGGGAGGGTAGGAGAGGTGGTGATGGGGAGGTGGTGATGGGGAGAGGGTGGTGGGGAGATGGTGATGGGGAGAGGGGGAGGTGGTGATGGGGAGGTGGTGATGGGGAGATGGTGAGAGGGTGATGGGGAGAGTGGGAGATGGTTATGGGGAGATGGTGATGGGGAGAGTGGGGGTGGTGATGGGGAGGGTGGGAGAGGGAGATGGTGATGGGGTGATGGGGAGGTGGTGATGGGGAGATGGTGATGGGGAGAGGGTGATGGGGAGATGGTGATGGGGAGGGTGGGAGGTGGTGATGGGGAGATGGTGATGGGGAGAGGGTGATGGGGAGGGTGGGAGATGATAGGGATAGTGGGAGGTGGTGATAAGAGATGAGGTAATGGTGGTGGGAGATGGTGGTGGTGGGAGATGGTTGTGAGGAGAGACGGGAGGATGTGAGATCGAGGTGTGAGTGAGGAGGTGACGGGCTAGAGGATGGGGGAAAGCTATCGGTAGAGAAGGTGGTGTGGGTGATGTCCTTTAAAACGACACCATCGTCGTACGGGAGAGGAGATACGACGGGAGAGATGAGGTGATGGGGACGTGATGATGGAAGAGAGAGAGAGGAGAGATGTGGGTGGTTATGATGGGAGAGGGGCAAGATAATGGAGGAGGGTACCAGAGAGAGAGGAGGTGAGAGACTGCAAGAGGGGAATGGCCAAGTGGAAAAGAGGAGTTCGGAGGTGAGAATTGAATGAGGAGGGAGAATAGTGATGAGGGAGAGGGGGGGATGAGGAGGGATCGGAGGAGCGAGCGGTGCATTGTTGCAGCATCGAGCTGCTGTCACGGCGACGGTGGTGCTGCTGCTGATGATGATGGTGATGATGTTATTGTTTATGGTTTCTCTGCACGGTGCATCACGGGAGTGGAGGAGGAGGGCCGCGTTCGTTCCTCGAGCGGCGGTGCAGAGGAGGGGGGGAGGCTCCGTGCGTGCGATGGGGTAGGAAGGGTTTATGAAGCAGCAGCGACAACAGCAGTAGTAGCTGCTGTTGTTGTTGCTGCTGCTACTGTTGTTGCTGCTTCTCTATGGGTTACAGTTCACGAGGGCCCAAACGCCACTTGAGCAAGAGTTGCCACGTTTTAAGGAGGCCGCGGCGCCGTTGTGCCAGGCCAGGTGCACGTTGAGGCGGCCACGTGGACTCGTCGAAGGGCTTCGCTGCTGGCAGGAGGAGGTCTCGGCACGGACCCAGGTGGTGGTGCCGTGGGGGGCGGCCCACTGAGATGACCGAAGGGGGAGATGCACACACACACACAGAGGGATGTAAGGCGCCAATAAGTATTGCAGTTGATATCCAGTGGTGCGCAACGATGTTACTGTAGGATCGCAGCAGTCGTGTTGATGATGTTGTTGATGTTGTTGATGTTGTGTGTGTGGCCACCCGGCCTGGCATTGGCAGTGTTTGTGGCATGGGGTTGAAACCGTTTGGCCAGCGATGTTTGGGGTCTGATGAGGCACAGAAACCGTTGGGCCAGCGATGTTTGGGGTTTGATGAGGCACAGAAACCGTTGGGCCAGTGATGTTTGGGGTCTGATGAGGCATAGAAACCGTTGGGCCAGTGATGTTTGGGGTCTGATGAGGCATAGAAACCGTTGGGCCAGTGATGTTTGGGGTCTGATGAGGCACAGAAACCGTTGGGCCAGTGATGTTTGGGGTCTGATGAGGCATAGAAACCGTTGGGCCAGTGATGTTTGGGGTCTGATGAGACACAGAAACCGTTGGGCCAGTGATGTTTGGGGTCTGATGAGGCACAGAAACCGTTGGGACAGGGATGTTTGGGGTCTGATGAGGCACAGAAACCGTTGGGCCAGTGATGTTTGGGGTCTGATGAGGCACAGAAACCGTTGGGCCAGTGATGTTTGGGGTCTGATGAGGCACAGAAACCGTTGGGCCAGCGATGTTTTGGGTTTGATGAGGCACAGAAACCGTTGGGCCAGTGATGTTTGGGGTCTGATGAGGCATAGAAACCGTTGGGCCAGTGATGTTTGGGGTTTGATGAGGCACAGAAACCGTTGGGCCAGTGATGTTTGGGGTCTGATGAGGCATAGAAACCGTTGGGCCAGTGATGTTTGGGGTCTGATGAGACACAGAAACCGTTGGGCCAGTGATGTTTGGGGTCTGATGAGGCACAGAAACCGTTGGGACAGGGATGTTTGGGGTCTGATGAGGCACAGAAACCGTTGGGCCAGTGATGTTTGGGGTCTGATGAGGCACAGAAACCGTTGGGCCAGTGATGTTTGGGGTCTGATGGGGCATAGAAACCGTTGGGCCAGTGATGTTTGGGGTTTGATGAGGCACAGAAACCGTTGGGCCAGCGATGTTTGGGGTTTGATGGGGCACAGAAACCGTTGGGCCAGTGATGTTTGGGGTTTGATGGGGCACAGAAACCGTTGGGCCAGTGATGTTTGGGGTTTGATGAGACACAGAAACCGTTGGGCCAGTGATGTTTGGGGTTTGATGGGGCACAGAAACCGTTGGGCCAGTGATGTTTGGGGTTTGATGGGGCACAGAAACCGTTGGGCCAGCGATGTTTGGGGTTTGATGGGGCACAGAAACCGTTGGGCCAGTGATGTTTGGGGTTTGATGGGGCACAGAAACCGTTGGGCCAGTGATGTTTGGGGTTTGATGAGGCACAGAAACCGTTGGGCCAGCGATGTTTGGGGTTTGATGAGGCACAGAAACCGTTGGGCCAGCGATGTTTGGGGTTTGATGGGGCACAGAAACCGTTGGGCCAGTGATGTTTGGGGTTTGATGGGGCACAGAAACCGTTGGGCCAGTGATGTTTGGGGTTTGATGAGGCACAGATACCGTTGGGCCAGTGATGTTTGGGGTTTGATGAGGCACAGAAACCGTTGGGCCAGTGATGTTTGGGGTTTGATGAGGCACAGAAACCGTTGGGCCAGTGATGTTTGGGGTTTGATGAGACACAGAAACCGTTGGGCCAGTGATGTTTGGGGTTTGATGAGGCACAGAAACCGTTGGGCCAGTGATGTTTGGGGTTTGATGAGGCACAGAAACCGTTGGGCCAGCGATGTTTGGGGTTTGATGGGGCACAGAAACCGTTGGGCCAGTGATGTTTGGGGTTTGATGGGGCACAGAAACCGTTGGGCCAGTGATGTTTGGGGTTTGATGAGGCACAGAAACCGTTGGGCCAGCGATGTTTGGGGTTTGATGGGGCACAGAAACCGTTGAGCCAGTGATGTTTGGGGTTTGATGGGGCACAGAAACCGTTGGGCCAGCGATGTTTGGGGTTTGATGAGGCACAGAAACCGTTGGGCCAGCGATGTTTGGGGTTTGATGGGGCACAGAAACCGTTGGGCCAGTGATGTTTGGGGTTTGATGAGGCACAGAAACCGTTGGGCCAGTGATGTTTGGGGTTTGATGAGGCACAGAAACCGTTGGGCCAGTGATGTTTGGGGTTTGATTGGGCACAGAAACCGTTGGGCCAGTGATGTTTGGGGTCTGATGAGGCACAGAAACCGTTGGGCCAGTGATGTTTGGGGTTTGATGAGGCACAGAAACCGTTGGGCCAGTGATGTTTGGGGTTTGATGGGGCACAGAAACCGTTGGGCCAGTGATGTTTGGGGTTTGATGGGGCACAGAAACCGTTGGGCCAGTGATGTTTGGGGTTTGATGGGGCACAGAAACCGTTGGGCCAGCGATGTTTGGGGTTTGATGGGGCACAGAAACCGTTGGGACAGGGATGTTTGGGGTTTGATGGGGCACAGAAACCGTTGGGACAGGGATGTTTGGGGTTTGATGGGGCACAGAAACCGTTGGGACAGGGATGTTTGGGGTTTGATGGGGCACAGAAACCGTTGGGACAGTGATGTTTGGGGTTTGATGGGGCACAGAAACCGTTGGGACAGGGATGTTTGGGGTTTGATGAGGCACAGAAACCGTTGGGCCAGTGATGTTTGGGGTTTGATGGGGCACAGAAACCGTTGGGACAGGGATGTTTGGGGTTTGATGGGGCACAGAAACCGTTGGGACAGGGATGTTTGGGGTTTGATGGGGCACAGAAACCGTTGGGCCAGCGATGTTTGGGGTTTGATGGGGCACAGAAACCGTTGGGCCAGCGATGTTTGGGGTTTGATGAGGCACAGAAACCGTTGGGCCAGTGATGTTTGGGGTTTGATGGGGCACAGAAACCGTTGGGCCAGTGATGTTTGGGGTTTGATGGGGCACAGAAACCGTTGGGCCAGCGATGTTTGGGGTTTGATGGGGCACAGAAACCGTTGGGCCAGTGATGTTTGGGGTTTGATGGGGCACAGAAACCGTTGGGACAGGGATGTTTGGGGTTTGATGGGGCACAGAAACCGTTGGGACAGGGATGTTTGGGGTTTGATGGGGCACAGAAACCGTTGGGCCAGCGATGTTTGGGGTTTGATGGGGCACAGAAACCGTTGGGACAGGGATGTTTGGGGT